GTGAGATTAACAAGAACAACCAGCAACAAATCTAGAATATAAAAGCCTTGAGAATATTTGGGAAGCAGGTAGAAGTTGTGTGCAGAGAGGTTCTGTTTTCCTTGCAGCCAGAGAAAGCTGCAACAAAGATCTTAACCAGATAAGACTGTGATTGTACAGACAAATAGCTTAAGCGGACAAATTGTTCCCAAGTGGATTCCAATTGAGTGCTAAAAAAAACATTTTGCAAGCCCTTAGGCATTTATTTCTAACTGGACATGCTGCTCTTTGCTTCCCCAACTAAAATAGGGATTTAATGCATTAACCTTGCATCAGGCTTGGCATCTGTATTATCTATAAGCCCAGTTTGCATGAAATGCTAAGCCAAACCATGGTTTAGTGCAAGCCAATTTGTCACTTGCAGGAGTGAACATCACAAAGTCTGTTTACCTCTCCCAGGTCCTCCTGTTGTTGTGCTATCAAGGTCTAAGACATGGTTTGTCCAAGCCTTGGCACGTCGTTTATCTCCCCCTAGACAAACCACAAGGAGTTAAAAGAAAACAAAATAAAAAAACCCGCCCCAACAATCTTGGCTATCAGCTCATATTGGGCACAACCCTAAGCCAAGCCATGGTTTATCCCTGGGTAGTAAGGTAGTAGCAGAACTATAGGAGTGCAGGAACAGCCCATGTGCCCAGCCATGTAAGCAAGCAAGCATTTTTAGCAATATTATTGAGTGGAAAACTGTGGGAGGGGAAAGTGTCAAGCAACACCCACCTCTAATTTGCTGCTTCACATACCCACTTCAAAAAACTCTATTTTCTTAACCCCTCCATATCCACCCCCCACAAGCACCAAGGCTCATTTAAATGTGAAAATAGCCCCTTGGCTTAGGAAGAAAATACCTTGTCGGATGCCACCCTGAGACTAATTTCCAATTGTTACATTTGTAAATCATTATGTCTGCATTTGAACATCCAGAGAATGGGTGGGGTGACTATATTGGGGAGGGGGCAGTATAGGAGGCAAACTTTACTGACAGGTGGGATTTCTAGCCCTTGCAGAAAAGTTAAGAGAGCTGGAGCATCCTCACCCATCCCCAAATCCCCAAAACTGGACATGGAACTGCAGTGGTTGTGCATGAGCTCTTCTTTCATCATTCTGGAAATATCCCGGGGCTTAGAGGAATAGGGGATTTTTGCTGGCTGAGTGGGAAGTGTAGTGCAGCTTGAGTCTTACCCAGCCAACAGGGGGAGTTACCATGTGTTTTTGCTGCCCTTGCTCCCTTTAAAAGTGAAGGAAGCCTGATCACTACCTTCTGGTACATTGTCTAAATAAGACCCTATTCCCCTCTCCCCTAAGGTTGCATTGGGACATTGTTTAGTTTCTAAAGTCACCACAAGGACAAGGAAAAGATTTGCCTGACTTTCTCTAAACCTAATCACTATCCCTTTCAGCTAATCCATTTCATTCAGAGTAAGCATCTGATTTCCAATATGTACATACATTCTGCAGTTACCTATTTTGTGGCAAGGGAAGGCAGCAAATGTGTTTTTTTTTTTTTTTTTAAAAAGTGATGCTGTCTTTTAATTGCATTTTCCTATTCGCTAAAATATTGCAAAAGAGAAAGTAGATCTTTAAAGAAAAAAGAATGGGCCATCACCACCAACGAAGTGGACCTAAAAGAAAATAAGGCTCTCGCCAATGGGAGAGAAGCCAGTCTGATCTGTTACAGGAATCATGAAGTATGGGGAGGAGCCTCTTGTGAGACTTTCTCATTTCAAAACCCTTAAAACTATACAACTTTTAGAAGACATCTGAAGGTAGCCCTGTATAGGGAAGTTTCTAATGTTAGATGTTTTATTATGTTTTTAATAGTTGTTGGAAGCTGCCCAGAGTGGCTGGGACAATCCAGTCAGCAGAGTATATTATTATTATTATTATTATTATTATTATTAGTAGTAGTAGTAGTAGTAGTAGTAGTACACTTGTGAGATGTAGACGCACTACCCCAAAGCAAGCTGCTCCACTCTTCTGGAATTCCCCCCCCCAACTCCTGTGGGTTCCCTGGGTTCCCTTGAACAAAATGGAATAGCTACGGAAGCAGTTGTTCAGCAGCAGCATGTTTACCAGAGCCACCAGAAGTGAGCAGCTAAGGAGCAACGCCATAATTGCATCACGTCCGGCCTTCCAAGGGAATGGTACATGGGAGCGATAGGATGTAACTCTGCTCCTCCTGGGCCTCTTCCAGCCTTTACTCTTTAGTTGTTTCTTTTTTTATTAAATGTGCCAATGGCATTCATTCTCTTTTTTTGGAAGTTACTGTAATGGTAAGAGTATTTCTTAGCAAGTCCAATTCTTCCACGGGGCATCATAAAGCACAGCAGGCTAACAAGCATAATTGCCAATGAGTGCTGGCTGGAGGCCAGGCCAACCCAGCGGCAGGATTTTCAGAAGCTGGGCATTCAGGGACAGGGTGAAGACAATGGTTTCTAATCCATCCATCTCCACTCCTAATGAAATTAGAGCCTGTATGAGCTGCCTTTCCAATGGTGCCAGCATGGTTTGCAGGGCCTGGTTTCTGCATACAGGTGCATGGTGAAGGCAGGAAATAAGCAGTTACAAGAGTGTCTGCTTTGGATCTAAAGCAGCTAGGATGTGTTGTAATGTGTGGTACAGGACAATGGTGGCAGAACCCCAGACACAACAAAACCCCTGCGAGTTGGCACCGTAGAGCAGCCTCCCAGTGATTACTTGAGCGATAAGGAAGCAGAAACCTTGCTGCATTCCAAACCAGGATTAGAAATAGGAGAGGAGGTGAGATGCAGACAGCTTTTCTGCCAGGCTGGATACTTTATACTGTTTTATGAGTGCTTTGTGTACGCGGTTTAGATATTTTCTAAGATGGAGCGTGCATCTATAGGCAGGAATTCAATCACTACAGCTGGGGAAGGAAACCTGTGGCCTTCCTGATGTTGCTGGATTATAACTCCCTGCAACCAGCATTGCTGATGGTCAAGGATGATAGGGGCTGTTGTTCGGCAGAACCTGGGGCCCCACAAGTTCCCCACCTATGGACAAAAACCAGGCAGGCAGGGCAAGAATGGATGACACCAGAGTTTGTGTGAGAGAAGGTGAAGAAGTTCTACTCTTGTTGTTACTTCTGTTACTTTCTTGTGGGCAGAATAGAACAACAAACTTTGGCTACAGCTTTTTGCTACAGTGTTATCAATGGGACTTTTAACCTTGACTAATTGTATCTGAATTGTTGTTTGCTGGTCTGTAGCACTGATAACAAATCCTACCCATTGCGTGTGGCCTATTGTGCTAGGACTGAATTTAGGAGGCTAGGTTTGGTTGGTGTGTGTGCATGTATTGGGGGAGAAACTGACTCATATTTGCCCTGGGATCTATAAATCCTCTCCCCAGCTCTATGCCGGAGGGGGGAAAAAATCAACATTTTTATTGGCCCAGGTCCTAACATATTTTCTCCTCCCTCCCTCCTATGCCTGGAATGGTTTTTAAACTTTTAAAATTGGGTAGCATTTCCTTTGCTAAAGAAGCTACTTTTTACTTCAAGTGAGTGGTTTGTTGCTTTGGGATTGAAGGCCACCTGTTTACGACCCAGCAGACTTCGTAATTTGGTAAAAGAAACCAACATGTATTATGTAATTTACTTTAAAGTTTTATCACAAGATAAAAGCAAATAACTGTTCTTTCTTCTCAGTTGAAATAGACGTGGCACACAGATAAACCTCTGGGATAGCTCAGTCAGTAGAGCCTGAGACTCTTAATCTCCGGGTTGTGGGTTTGAGCCCCACACTGAAGCAAAAGATTCCTGCATTGCAGGGGGTTGGACGAAATGACCCTCTATTATTTTTCTATTATCAAAATTCTATTATTATTCTATTTCAATAAGAGATAGTTTGGCAGTCCACATTAGAGTTATGACCACTTAAGACACCCACCCACCCACCAAGAAGTTACATTGTAATTCTTAGGACTGAAATGTGATAATTAAGCAAATATAATGCCTTAATCTCCAACCAGCTGTATCAGGTAAACAAAGGAATAGGAGTTTTCTCTTCCAAACCAAACTGAGAAACGATGAGCCATGAGACCTTCATGATCAACCACGAAGTCCAGGTGTGGATTTGCAGTGTTTGTTAGACATAGATGCATCTGTCAATTTTGATGTATCTTCATTTCTCATTATTTATTTGTTTATGAATGAATGAATGAATGAATTGATTCCTATGAAGCATCCAGAGGTGATGCCACAATACAGTAAAACCATATATAAAGCACTTGCATATATGAAAACAGTTTCAACAACTGCATATATAAAAGCAATTTCTCATCCAATACAGATACTGATTAGGATTATTAAAAAAACCCCACACCTTCACTTAGAAAGCTTGTTGAAAGAGGAAACTCTTCAACTGGCACCAAAAGGACAGTAAGAGCAGCACCTGTCTTCTTTGTAAGCCAGAACCTAAATGAATGAGTGTAGATAAATCTTTTCATCCAAGAGTACTTGCAGCTGTTGCACCACAACCCTTTTGATCATACTGGATTAGTGTGAAATCAAAATCCTGGTGACTTGGTTGACACCAGAATTTTCTGTGGGAAAGAAAATTGGAGCCTTGTGTAGTTCGGATTTAATTTATAAATTGTGATTTTGAATTGGTACAAACAATTTATATGCTTAAAATGTGTCTTGTGTTTTCCATGAGAAAACAGAAACTCAGGTATTCATGCTAACTTGTTTATACTACCTTGGTTGGCCCTGCCAAACATTTCCAGCTATAAGTTTTCTTGTATTATTTCCTTCTATACTCTGAATAGCAGGGGTGACAACTTTAGGGCTTAGGACACTCTTAAGGTGTTCTCAGGTTTGCTCAGATATATTAAGGACAAGTATGTATCACTTTTGTCAAGGGTAATCCTAAATGAGTGCCATAGTCCACAGGCAGCAACATTTCTTCTCTCTCTCTCTTTTTTGTCTCCTTTCTTTTCAGCTTGCAACTGCAACCTGCATGCCAGAAGGTGCCGTTTTAATATGGAACTCTACAAATTATCTGGTCGCAAGAGTGGAGGTGTCTGCCTTAATTGCCGCCACAATACAGCAGGTCGTCACTGTCACTACTGTAAGGAAGGGTACTATCGGGACATGACCAAACCAATCACCCACAGGAAAGCATGCAAAGGTATGTGTGTCAGGGTAGCAGAAGCCAGGGGAACAGCAACAGGTTTACTAATGCCTTTCCTTCTCTGCCCTATCTGTAAGTGTTTTCTTTCCAACAGTCTTTGGTATGTTTATTCAGAACTAAGCTCCACTGAGTCCAACGGGGCACATATTTCTGGGTAAATGTGCATAAGATGGCAGACTTATTGTCTGCTTCCAGCCTATTTATATTCAATATTACAAATTGCATCGAATTCTCTGGACTCTTTTGCCTCTCCTCTTTTTCTTCTTTACAGCCACACTCATGGGTTGAGAGTGGGGGAATTAAAGGAAAAAGCCAGGCACAAACAGAGCAATCACACCTCTTCAGAGCCTGATTTGTGTCTACACAGCTGGTCTTATGGTACTGGTAAAGGAGCTACGGCTCATAAACTTGGATATACTATCCATTACTGAGCTTACTATAAAGAACTGAAGCTGAAAAAGTGAGTTGCCTATTCTACACAGATCCCTATATGTGGCAGCTTAGGCTTGCAACACTTGGAAGAAAAGGTCTTAAGTGGGGAGGCTTTTGAACACAAACTACACGTTTGTAGCAGTCCATCATGGGAAAGAAGAGTTTCATATATTGCATGAAAGAAGGAAACATACTAATATCCTAATTTTAAAATGGTTCCTACAACTTTTCCCCCCTGCCTAGCATGCTGAAAAAAGTGTAGCTATCTAACAATGACAGTGTTAGGTAGACACTTCTTTTTGCAGGACCTGGTTCTTAGAGTCCTCAGGGCTGGCTTGTCCAGATGTACATACTCAAAAGCAGGGATGCACTTAGGTAATGTTAGTCTCTGAACTTAATAGTCTTAGGTGCCTAACCTCCCCCCCCCTCATTTTTTGTAATGTGTGTAACTTCAATGATTTCACAACTTGAGAAACCATCCTGTTCATTCTACTGAACAGGGCCCTGGATCTCTGCTCCCAGAGTCTTGTCATGATGGCACCATTGCTTGAAAATTGAACTATTTTTGTTCCTCTTTAAGTAAGCAGCACAGCCCCTTTTGCAAGCTTGAGGTGTTATTCTGGTTAGGGGGAAAAAACACAGAATCATTTCATGGTTTTAATTCTGGGTGTCACTGGTGAAGCTGTGGGTATTGATTGATTCTGGTGTGGGGAATCCTAGGCGACAATACACCTCTCTCTCTCCCTCTCCTACACTGCCCATGCAGGCTATCCATCAATATGGCACCTGAGGATTATTCTGCTGTGGCTGGCTCTGTGACCAAGAATCACAGTAGCAGTGATAGCAGCAGCAGCAGCAGCAGCAGCAGCAGCTTCTCCCTACCCTCAACAGTGCTTTCTTCTAGTTTTTCCCTACTTTTGTTCAGGATTTGGATGATTCATAGTAGGTGAGGGAGAAACTGTCAGGAACTAGAGCTGGAATCTTACTCCTGAGAGAAACAATCCAGCTTCGAACCTCTCTCTCTCTCTCTTTTTGCCTGTTGGACTGTGGGAGAATTGGAGCAGCCCAAGGGATTGACCCCAGCTCCGCTTCCATGGGAGATGTGTGAGCTTGTGCAAACCTTTACAGACCTCCCTCCCCTTTGAAAGGTATGGAATTTAGCTGTATGAGAAGCTGGTCCTGCAACTGCTATTACAGGAAAGAGATCTGGGCAGTTCAGTTCTGAAAGCTCCACTTGTCTGGACTATGTGCTATGTCCAAGAAACCATAATGCTTTCAGGATTTTTAGGGGGGGGAGAGAGAGATCAGAAGTCTGTTTTGTTCAACTTGTCACAGCTTATCAGCCTTTCCCCCTCCTCTTCGCTCCCCCCTCCTCACCATTCCCGCCCTTCAAACGCATAAGCACAGGCACACATGCAGAAACGTTGAATGGCTCACAGCAGCTATTCAGAACACGTGTGACTAGACAAGTAAAAACAAAGAAGTGGAAAAGGGACCTCAGACATAGGAGAAGAAAGACAAAGGTGTGAATGGATTGTTGAGGTTATTCAGATCAGCATATGGGCCTCTCACATCAAAACAAAAGCTCGCCTTCCCTCCCCTTCCCACAGGTGTGCATACCAGCAAACACTGGGCTCCATTCAATAGACTTAGTATCTGGGAAGACAAAGACTATTTCTTTTGCAAATACACATAGACACAGATCTACCATGCATACACACAGAGAGACAAATATATCCCTAATCCATATGAAAACAGCTTTATTATCTGGACAAAATAATAGAAAGCTAAAAGTTCCCTTCATTGAGTGGCTCATCATTCAGTGCTTGGCAAAACCCTACAAAGCAAAGTAAGTTTATTTACAATCAAGGATTTTATTTATCCGTTACTAAGTTTCTACCCCAGATTCATTTTCCAAGATGATGTAAAAATGTGCAGTTGCACATATGAAAACTGGAGTTCAGTGGAAAAGAAACAGGAACTTAAAAGACAATGGCAGTCAAGCCATTCCTACAAAGCATTTGGGGCAACCCAGATAATAATGATAACGATGATGATGATGATGATGATGATGATTTCTTCCTGTCAACAGGAGGATTTATACAAAATCTACTTATCTACCTATGTGCTCCATCTTTTAAAATTTGAATGTTTGCTATGCATTAGATGCAAAATCTGTTCAGCATCAACAGAAGAGATAAAAGGCTAGATAAGACAATGCTACCCACACTAAAGTTAAGCATGTTCTGTCTCCTAACTGTAAATGAATGCAAAAGTGAAGGGGAAGGAGGCTGTAGATCAGTGCATTCAGAAGGTTCCTGGTTTAATCCCTGGCATCTAGGCATCTCTACGTAGGGCTAGAAAAGATTCCTTACCTGAAACCATGGAGAGCTGCTTCCTGTCAGTACTAACAGTACATGACTAGATGGACCAATGGTCTGACTTGGTATAAGATAGCTTCCTATGTTCCTAAGGAGGAGTGAGGTATGGGAGGTAAAAACTGTTAGGAATGTGTTTTTGTGTATAGTAGAGACAGGGAATTGTGAACAGGGAAACTGCAAGAAACTTGCATGCTGGAAGCTCCTCTGAGACACCCCCACCCCCGCCTCATAGCTTTTAGCAGATGTTGCTTTTTGCTTTTAAAATGTTATATTTGGAACCAGGAGGGCTAGAAGTGAAAGCTGAGAATCTCAGGAATATGGCAATAGAAGCCAATATTTGAAATTCATGGAATAACTGCAGCCATATACAGTGCCCCTGCGTATGCTCTCCAATCTCTCTCTCTCTGCTTTGGGCAAGGCCTTGCATTTCAGCTAAGTGTATGTCTGTGGGAGGCAGATGTATTGTGCACCCACCTCATTCATCTGATAGAAAGGAAACATGCCCAACTAATGTGGGCCACTCAGAACAGCCTGAACCTTTTGAATAAGCTGGAATTTCAGCAGCAGGGGAGGGTGAAACAGCCACATCACTGAATGTGGGCACTAAGTAAGGGGAGAGGGGGCGAGAGAAAAGATCTCTTGACATCATTGCTTGGCAGGTTTGGAATCCACAAGAGCAGGCAGATCTGAAAGAGGAAAGAAAATCAAGCCCGCAGTTGGGAGGGAAGCAACTGTGACACAACACAGTTTTAATATTTTTCAAGCTGCTCTGCTTTCCTGAGGGGGATAGCATGCTTATTGGCAAATTGCTGGCAGAGCACTGGGAAAGTATGTTTGGTAATGAAGCTGACAATTTAATTCTGAGTAAGTAACTCAGCTAAGCAACAAAGGCTGCACGCAACAAAGAGAAAGCTTAACACATGGCCCCTTTCCTAACACAGATGAAGGGGCAAGAGAGATGCAGAGAGAAAGAGGTACAAGAACTAGAGGTAAACCAACATTTCTCAGAATATTTTTTTAAAAAAGAAAACAACCTCCCCCCCCCAACACACACAAATAAGGAAATACAGTGGTACCTTGGTTCTCAAACCCAATCCATTCCAGGAGTCTGTTCAGCTCCTGAAATCGTTCGAAAACCAAGGTGTGGCTTCTGATTGGCTGCAGAAGCTTTTTGCACTCAAGCGGAAACCGCATCGGATGTACGGCTTCCGAGAAACATTCACAAACTGGAACACTTACTTCTGGGTTTGCGGCGTTCGGGAGCCAATTTGTTCGACAACTAAGCCGTTTGAGACTAAAGGTACCACAGTATCTGCAGAATTTTCTGTGGCTATGGGTTTCCCCCACCATTTATTTAGTGACATTCCCCACCTGCCAATGCCCACAGAACTATCATAGGTCTAGGTCGTTGTTGAGGATGCAAAATGTTGACTAGGCTGACAACTGGGTTCGAATAAGCATATGGCTGCTTCAAGGAACTTATACAGGGCTTGGCACCTCTTCAAGCAAAACAAGATTTGGATCTTGGATTTGGATGTCATACATCTACTACCAGCTAGAATCAGGTTCAGAGGGAAAACAGCACCCATATCTTTGGAAATCTTAAGGAAGATAGCGGGTTCATTGGCTTCCTGCTATACACCATCAGAACAACAATATACCACTAGTCCCTCTAACTCAATGCACCTAAATCTGTTATAGGGATTCCCTCAACTCTCTGGAGCTTATTTGGGAAGGGTGCAGTGTGCATGTGGGGGGAGGAGAGAGGGTGGACACCTGTTGCACAAGTGGAAATCCTCTCATGGACAGAATGTGGTCATTGAATATTGCCCAGACACCTTTGCTTTCCTTTGTCTTTTGTAGAATTAATTAGATTATCCAAAATCCTTGGGTTGTTTTATCTCTTCATTTGTGAGGGTCTTTAGAAATGTTGGTGTAGGATTTAAAATTTTAATTGCATTTTACTGGTTGATTCTTTAATTTTTGCAAACTACTCTGGAATCTATTTACAAGAAGGGTCAGTTTAGAAGCTCCATAGCTAAATAAAACATTTGCCTCTTAGTTTCCTTGATTTTAAGGAACCACTTCTAAAGCACTGTACTCAAAGTTTCTGTTGAATGGTTTGCTTATTAATGTCCTCATAACAGTGGGCTTAATTTCATTAATTTGCTTTAAAAAGTAGTACCCTTCTCTCCTCCTCTGAAAAAAAAATTATCAGTGCTGCCCAATATCCGTTTTTCCACTGACACAACAGCAACCTTGTTTTTTGCCTTCTTATCCTAATAGAAACCTATTTACATTTGACTGTGCAATGAATGTTGCTAGTATTACAATTTTCAACTGACATTCTCTCTTCTAGATGGACTGCAAAGAATTCAAGTTGTTTCATTTTGTTCCTTTAAAAAACAATGATGTCATGTTTGTGCAAGATTTCCAAAACTCTGCTTAGTTTTGTTTAGTTTTTAACCAAGCAGGTGGAAACTATTCAGCTTGGGCCGGGTTAATGTGGTGGCTGGTGCAATGGGGATCAGCACTTAAAACTTGTCTGTGGCCCAGTGAAACAAAAGTCTCGTCCCAACATAACCTGTGCTCCTGACTCTATGGATGTGATTAAATTTCCACGCAGTGGGACAGACATTATAAAACACAGATCTTAGTCATGCTGTACCACCCAGGGCCTGATGATTGATAGAGCACTGAACATTAGACTGCAAGAGTTGTGGGGGACCCCTATACTTTGCTAATTCAGAGTCTGACACTGCATCGCTCAAGTTCCATCAGCCGCAGAATATTTAATCCATAACTATAAAAACCGTAACTAAATGTTTGTCTCCTTTACATCCGGCCGACTGTTTGCTTTGTGAATATTGTTTTGTGAAGTTTGCCAAAAGTCTGGAAAATATTTTCTGTTGAAGTTTATGATTCGGCGTATGAACCTCCCTTGATTTCAGAATGTGAGAGCAACACGTTGGTGGATTTTTCTTCCCTTTTAGCCATGTGAGCCACAGCAAACACATCTGTCAAGGCTAATGGATGTAAAGAGAATGCAGCGCTAGGCTACAGGTTGGAAACCCCTGGCTCAATAGCAGCTCAACACTATTTTGCTGTAGTTTCTTATGGTTGCTTTCTGTTATTTAATGCAAACTGACTGGTGTGGTATTTTGCACGAGGGGGAATTCTTCTGAGGCATGGGCTTTGTCAAAGGGTACTCTTGTCCATCTAGGGATGTTTTGCTTTTGGGACATTTAAAAACAATTGTGCTAAAACAGTTTTGTGAAAAGTTACCTTCTAACAGTCTGAGCCATATCTCTACTGATAATAGTATTAATTTCCACTTCATCAGATAATCTGCCAGTAGGCTGATCTTCGTAGAAATATGAGGTTTGGACACAATTCAGATTAAGAAATTAACCCACTTTCTGCATTTGCCATCAGCTTTACCAGCAACTCATCTTCCATCCTATATAGCTGAGAATGTTTCTTCATAAGACTTGATTCTTTCAACCATTTAGTCCAGATTCATTTGCACTTACATTTAATACATTTAAATCAATGCATCTAATGAAATGTCAATGCCTTGTGAGAGTAAAAGTGAGTAACTGCCTGCCAAGCAAGCATGCAGCAAAGTTCATAATTCTTGCAAGTATTTGTTGGCTGATATGAAGTAACTCCTGCCATTCTGTTAAGAGGCTGTGTGGGGTGTTTGTCCATAATAATGCAATTTCATCCATTTACTCTAACAGACATGCTGTGCTAAACTGCTTTCCTTCATCCCTGCGCTTTCCATCTGTCACTTCACCATACTATCTGAGCTGGTATTTCTGAATAGGCAATAGATTCACTGTTAAGAAAACACAGAAAGACTGAGTTACTTTGAAGGTACACTGGAAAAGTAAATTTGATTTGTTTGTTTCTGAAGTTGTATATGTATTTTAATTCTCCATATGTACAAACAGTTTTTCTTCCTTTTAAAAACATATACATGATAGATGTTCAAAAATTGAAAATTTATGAAAGTCTGTTGCTGTTGTTGTTGTTGTGTATTTTAACACAATCCTAGTTGACAGAACGTTTAATTCCAATTTTTGATCTGAAAGTAACATTGTAGTATTTGTAGGTACAAATGGGAGCTCAAAAAGGAAGAGCTCTTTGCTGCAAAAGCTTCATAAGTGAATGGCAACATGAACAGAGTAATTTCAAAAAAGATAGTTCCATGACCTTTAAAACATTAAATTAATGAAGGATAGGAAAAAAACGAATAATGCAATCCCTTAATTTCAGCAGCTTTCTTTAAAAATCAGCGGGCAAAAACAAACAAAAGTAAACAATTTAATGGAATGTGAACATTTTTATTGGAGGAAACGAAAGACATATGAAATGGGTAATACTTTTCTTAAGAATCTAAAACGGTCAGATTAAATAATTTTTAAATAAATTGCAACTTTATCACTTATAGAATTATGCTGCTTTGTCACTTGTCTGTCCTGCTAGCTTTTTGTATAGAAAAAATTAAGCGGGCACCCTCAGCTCTGCACCATTCAGAGAAGCCAATATTAAGCAAATGGAAAAAGGAAAGGAAAGGAAACCTTTTGCTAGACCAGCAAGTGTGATGAGCTCCTTACTGCAACTTGGAAAGAAGCCACACAACAGGAAAAGAGATGACAGATTGAGTAGGGATATCACATGAAGTGGCAGGGTTGGGATCATGCCAAGGCCTACTGAAGCAGCCTGGAAGCAGAAAAGGAGCCAGGCTGCTGTATGCTACTGGGTGGTCAAAGGCAGAAATGAAATGCCAGTGGTTCAAGAAGGCATCATGTTTGAGAGATGAAGGATATAATTCATGTCCCATAAAATTAATGCAAGAAAGAGTTGCGTTATCACTAGAGTGGTACTATTGGGACTTAGAAATGACCCAAAGCTCCTGTTCTTTCTCTCTCTCTCTCCTGGCAGCTGTCCCTGCCCCATCTCACCAGGAGGATTAATTTCTAGCACAGTTTCCAAATTAAAAGGGAAACTAACCCCAGAATCCTATACATGCCAACTTAGAAATAAATCCTATTGAGTTCAATTGGGCTTACTCCTGAGTAAGTATATTAGTGTTGCAACCTAAGTGCCTATTTTAATCTTACATTGTATTCTCAACAGTCAAACCATTCATTGAACATCTACCTCAACATAAGCAACCCTATTTTTCCGCTCTGTCTGTTCTGTTTAGAAGAATGTTTTCATGCAGAACCCTTTCTGTGGTCAAATACATTTATAGCATTGATCCAGGAATGGCTACACAACTTCTGCTACCAATCTGTTCTGTTGAAGTACTGGACATGCTGTTGGGCAGCTGTCTACATAAATATGGAACCCTATGGAAACATATGCAGTGTAGGTGGACAATTGCAAGCATGAGACTGCTTCTTGCTGCATATGCTGAGTCTGTGCCACTAGCAAATGTTCCACATCCTGTTTACATATTATGCATTATTAGTTTGTTTATAAAAAGGGGCCTTAAAAAAGGTAGGCTCAGCTGAAGTTTTGGATTTGTGCCTCAGAAACTGGAGACAAATATGATTTTAACCTTTCACAGCTTTCTCAAACAGTTCCTGAAGCAGGAGGTGAAACAGGAACATTCACCTTCCTGTCCTCCTAGATAAACCATTGCATTATTTTTATTTCCTCACTCCTCCATATCCACCCCCATCTTCTTAAAAAGAGTGAGGTTGATAGGGAAGTTCCAAATGACCTTTCTATGTAAAACCTGTTTTGTTGTATAATATATTTGGAATTGGTTCCATAAGCCCCTTTGATTAATTTCAACTCTGATATTTACCAGGCTACTGATACCAATGTAATTCTATTGAAACAGAGCCCCTGTCGAGTTTTATAGTATTTCTGTAAAACTGCTCTGCACACTGGGGAAAGGATTTCCATGCTTTTGATGAAAAAATGATGAATGATATGAACCATGAATGCACTCAGGCTCCACTTGCCAATATAAACCTATTGGGGAGCAGTGGAATTTAACATATGGAAAGGCGGCAAGTTGGCTTAATGCAGGCTAAACTTTTAATTAAGGATGCCAATCTTCCTCCTAAATGTCTGCTCCAAAGATTCTCAGCCAAATTTTGAGGCTTCAGTAAAGAATCATTGCTCAGCTTGCTCCCCCCGGGGAATCAATAGCTGCTGCTCCTTCTCACATGCACAGAGATTTGAGTTTTGTGAAAGGAAATAAGACCAAGCCTTAACCAGTTTTCTTCTATGAACAGCAGCATTTTGAATTATAGTGAGCTGAACCTCAGCTCACTGCACGACCATGGAGCAGTCTGCTTCCTTGGGTTTCTTTCTATGGAAAACAGAGACAAGACTGGCAGGCTCATAATTTTGATATATCCAGATCAAATACACTTTGCTCAAGGTCTTTCTTTCTTTCTTTCTTTCTTTCTTTCTTTCTTTCTTTCTTTCTTTCTTTCTAATGGCTACAACGGTCTTAAAAGAAAGCCCAACCTTTAAGGGTTTATAACATTTTAAAACAAATTAGCACAGTTCACTGAGAAAAAACTCGTGACATTACAGTATATTATATCTCCATGGTAACAAACAGCACTCCTGAAATATGCTTTCAAAAGATAAATGGTTGCAGTTAAATTTGAGGTAAGAACAAGTATTGTAGTGATCTGGTGCCTTGGAAGCAATGCTTTTCCAGCTGGGTTAAAATAATCTAAAAATCAGTAATACCCACAGTTAACAGTGTTTTATCCCAATTGAAAAAACATTGTTTCCAAGTCATGATGTCACTACGACACTGCAGTTTCTACACTGAATAACTTGGGAGTAAGTCCCATTTGCCTCAGTAGGGATTACTTGTGACTAGACAAGTAGAGGATTGCACAGCTATTCAGTGTGTTTTGTATATCATCATTGTGAAATCCCTCAGAATTGCTAACAAGCTACAGTTTTATATTTGTAGTCTCTTGTCTATTTAAAGCTTTTGTTGTTTTCTTTCTTCTTAGTATTTGCAACATAAAGTAGCAATACAAAGGGGAAAAGAAAGCTTAAAGGTAAATCATATGCAAATACGAAAATTATTTCCATAGCAAGAGTAGAACAGTGCTATTTGCATAGAAAGCAATGGGAATCAAATATGCATTATCTGTCGTAAAAGAGAGAAAAATAAACTTTGCAGGAGCAATCCAGTAGATTTTAAAAGGTTGCCTATTGGATATTTTGGAGCCACAAATCATTTCTACAATAACCAGTAAATGCAACATAGGAAGCTGCCTTCTGCTCTGTATTGTGACTGGCAGTAGCAGTTTCAGGCGGTGTGGGGTGGCAGGTCCATTTCAGCCTACCTGGAGATTCCAGAGATTGAATCTGGGACTTCCTGCATGGCTCCCACTGATCTACAGCCCTTTCCACGTCATTGTAAAATTATTTGATTTTGTTAAATGTAGATCATTAAAATCAAGTAATGGTTAATTATTTAATTGGTTCCTTTTTTTTTTTTTACCCAGACATTCTAATCCTTTGCTTAAAAATCTCCTTGTCTCACTCCACCCCAGTCACGCCACATCCTCATCTCTGTTTTTACTATATCATGCTTGGGGCAAAATTCTGAATGCCCAGCAAGCACAGAGAGCCTTTTCCCAAAGCAAGCCATCTGACTTAGAAGAAGAAAGGAGCTGGTGTGAACCTCAGTCCTATGCAGGCTTACTCAGATGTAAGGCCAGTTGAATCCAGTGGGACTTACAGGAATACTAATATTGCAACTTTAGTATTGTAATTTTCCCAGCTATTTTAAAAAGTCTGGTTTCCAGTTTCCCTAAATCTGCTCCTTCAACACACGTGTATAATAGCACACTGACTCGATGGCACCAGGCCCCAGCATGCTTGAAAATGCAGGAAAGAGAAGAAAAAGAGGAGGAAAGAAAAAGAAGAAATCAACTTCTGCTCTGAAAAGCACAAACAGAAAGTTGTGGGGATTTTGCCATCAATGAGCTACAGCAGCAGAGGCCCCAGCCACAGCTTCGTGAACATTAATTGAGCAAACTGAAAGTCTGTCTACATGCAGTGATAATACTACAGTGAAGTCACTCTTATGCCAAGAATTCAATCATGCTGCAGATGTCTTGAAGCTCCAGAGAAGCCAGTGGTTTCATACACTTCCACCCAGATTACATCTAAGTCCAGTTTTGTGTCCCAGAAAGGATCATCCCGTCACTTTCCCTTTAGACTTGTTATGGTGATATTCTGGAACCTCAATTCTGGCAGGTGGTCTCTTCCCCCACAACTTCTTATCCTTTGTCTCAGCAGACTGGGGACTCTGACATTCTGTTGCTATAAAAAATACGAAGGCAGTGAATTTTCTTCTTCAGCTGAGAAAAGAGTATTACGTTTAAGTCTGCTTTCCCCTGCACTCCAGTTCAAAGATTCTAGGACATCCTCTCCTGGATTTTAGGAATTTATTAAAGCCTGTCGTATTTCCCCTTCCCTGTCAAATGTTAAAAACAGAAAGGCCTTCAGGGGGTGGGGGAACAAGGATGAGGCTTTCCGTGGTCCTTCATAAAGGCCAGAAACACATCTGGTCATAAACAGGACAAAGATTTCTTGGAACTGTATCTGACCTCCGGTGTGATTTCCAGAACATTGTGCTGACATATCTGCTAGACATCCCCTGTGACACAGCTCAGTCAAAAAGTGGATGAGAACTATTCAGGGGTTCCCTGTTTTTGTGATCATATCTCGGTGCACGTGCTTGCAGCTTCTAAAGCGTAGGAGCTCTGCACTTGCACAGATGCTCTCATTTGTCATACCTTTGGTATTTGGCTTCAGGAAATAAGATTATTTCACAGATGAAAATGTAAACAGGGCCCAAATCAGCCACTGCCCAAGAAGAGCTGTGGTAGAGAAGGGAGGAGAAATGCAAAGGGATAGTTGTGGTCTCTTGATCAGAAGGGCTGCTTGTTTATTCCTACATGCTGGGGACTCATGCTCATCGTATTTAGCTGCTTCAGGTAGATGATCAAACCTTGGTTCAAAATTTCTCTGATTTTGTGGGCTTCAGAAGTGTTGCTTCATATCACCTTGTGGAATAAAGTTATCAACTGAACAAAATGAAATTGAATCACTGATTAAAAAAAGCAGCAGCAGCAGCAATACAAACTCAAATGGCAACATCATATGTCATCACAATGCAAGCCACCATGGCAATAACAGAAGGCAAGGTGTGGTCAATCAAGGAGAATTTCTAAAGGATAGTCACATTACAAACTACAGTATTCACAGCATTTTGCTGTAACAATCTTCACAAACTACCAGTGGTTCTGTGTACAGTGCTGGGGCAATTTAATAATGCAGAAATATGGAATCTCACATGAGGACAAAACTATTAATAGAACACAGTCATCTGAAGAATGATAATTGAGACCATTGAAATGTACAGGTGATTCAAATGAATGCACACAAGAACACTGATGTGGAATTTTAGAAGCAATGAAAAGGACTTGTGAGGAAACACATAGCAGCAGAACCTGAGCTGCAGCTCTGTGCACACTTTATTGGCAAAAGCCCCATTGAATTCAGTGGGACTTAAGGATCCATAGAATTTGGCTAATAGAATGACCCAAAGAATGGAGGAAAAGCTGGACAACCTTAGCTGACAATTGTGAGGTGCTAATGTAACACTGTGTGAGCCACAATGGTTCTTCCTCCTTGCATAGTTAGGGAGTTCTGAGAGTTTGCATGTGCCCACCACTTCTGTAACACAACTTGTGAGGTGGGTTGTACATACATACAAGCATTCACCACCACCACCCTTTGTTGAGGAGAAAGGGTTGAATGAAAAGTGCATAAATTAGGCTTTGGTTAATTAAACAATATATCACCTTTCAAACTGGGAGTTTTGTTTTTGTTTGTTACTATGGTATTTTTGTTTGTGTGTTAATATTGTAAATTGCCCAGTGATCCTCAGATGAAGGGTGGTATACAAATTTAATCAATGATGATGATGCTATTGTTGCAGCTTAAACCCTTATAATTATATTATCACTAAATGAATGCAATATGATTAGAATTCAGAATTGTTGCTCGTTTCACAGCCAGTTATACACAACTTTTTAAAAGAAATGTATAATATACACTGTGATAAAATATAGATATGAAAATGATGCACATAGCCCACTAGTGGTGGTGGGGAGACTCCTATAAATAGTAAGCCATAACCATACAAAATGACACAGGATTGTTTTAGAACATGAAGACAAATCAGCACATACAAGGTATATGAATACACATACCATAAAAGCTAAAATAATGCTTACTTGTGAAAAATATGTAAGATACATTTAGGCAAATGATCTCTGATACTGTTAAATTGTATTTCTTGAGTTCGTAAACTTTGTCTCCTTTGACAAAGTATAGCTTCCTGTGTAACAAAAAGCTGTTGATCTTAAAAGAATGTAAATTCCTTCTGTTACTCCTTCACTGTTAAATGGTCACATTCTAAATCAATATCTAGCTTGACAGAAGATTTAGTCTTTTCTGTATCTTTCAATACATTGACACACAGAGAGATTAGTGTTTGGAAATTATTGTGACATATTTAGTGAACTGGCTTGACCGACCTGTCTTTGGACAGGCATATCCCAGCATGTTCTAGCATTGTTGACAGATGGATTCTGGGACTTCTAAATGTATGACTATGAACATCTTAGTGACAGAGATAGAAAGAGAAACAACAACCCTAGACCATAAACTCAAGGCTAGACTTTAATTTTGTTTCCAAGTGTCACATTCATTCACTATTTTTGAGCTTTGAATCACACCTCTGTGCCATTGAAAATACGAATGTTTCAAATGCAAAGCAACAAGAAAAGAAAAAAGAAGTCCACCTCAAGAGGGAAAACCTAGATTTAATGAGGGAACTGACAAAAATAAGTAAACAATGAGTTCTGAATATTCTTATACATACCTGCTGCTGAAACATATTAGATTTCCCCAACAAAGAGCCATGCAACCCCAGTAAAATACATATTCACAGATAATTTGATTGTCATGAGCTGTATCACTGGAGACTGACTAGTATGATTGACAAAGATTCAATAGCTCAAATGTCAAGCTTATCTTAAAGACTTAAATGAGAAATAATCTGAATTGTGTAGGCTCTGGTTCAGCAAACAGCTAGCTCTAAATGTTGAATTAAGTTTTCAAAAGGTGGGATGACAACATTTCATAATCCCATGAGTCCTGGCTTAGTAGGCAGCTTAACTCTAAAAGTGAAAAGAATGCAAGAAGAATTAATGTTGACTGGTTATGATGGTTATATGCATTCTCTGTGCTTATTTATAGAAGAGGTGAAGCACCTCAGGTCCAGGGGGTCAAATGTGGCCCTCCAGACCTCTCTGTCTGGCCCCTGGAACTCTCCTCAGGCCTCACCCATCACTGGCCCTGCTTAACACTCAGTATTTTTGCCTGGCTGAAATGTGCCCTTGAACTCTAATGCATTGTTTGTCCTGTTGGAGGACAGAGAGGAGTTTATGTTTTATATATAGAAAGTAAAATTTACATTTGTTGCTCTGTCCATTTTTTTCCTCTTGCCCCTACTGGCATGTGGCCATCAGAAGGGTCACAGAATGGAATGGGGCCCTTGGGCTGAAAAGGTTCATTGCCACTGATATATAGGAACATAGGAAGCTATCTAAAACTGAGTTGCACCATATAGCTAGATCATGTACCACAAACCGGCAGCAGCTGTTCAGGGTTTCAGACCAGGGTCTTTTTCAGCTCAATGTGGAGGTGCTGGGGATTGAACTTTGGACCTTCTGGCATGTAATGTATGTGCTCTACAACTGAGCCATAACCCTTTCCTGACTAGATTGCGAAGGCAGTATGCCTCTCGAATGCCAGCTGCTGAAGGAAAGGAGTGGGGTTATTGCTTTCATGCCTTGCTTGCCTTCTCAAGAGGCATCTGGTTAGCTATTGACAATTTATCGCTGTCGCTTGTTGGCTAATGATGGACCATTGGTTTGATTCAGCAGAGCTCCCCCTGAATGCTCTTCAACAGGAATTTAGCCGGGAGAATTCACCACAATCCACTGAGTTTAGTTATTGTTCCAGCTACAGAACAGGTGTTTCAATGACCTCTAGAGAGAAAAGGAAACCCTTCATCTTCTTCTTGCTCCCACCAGCTGTGATGATTGGAGGCTGATAGTGAGGCTGGAACAGAATATTTCCTGAAGCACTGAACAAAGAGCAAACGTACAGAAATTGAATGGTGGGGAAATAATTCTAGGTGTGGCATTAGTCAGGTCCACTCAGCAGCAGTAAATGTCTGCTTTAAAACTTTTAAATTCATTTTAGGCCACAAGTATATTAATAATCCTTGTGGTGTAATGTAGTAGCTGGCACTGATTGTCCATCATGTTGCTTTCAGATTTTCTGGGGAAAGTTGCTGTGCTTATAGAGCACTGCTATTAGAATGAGATGATACCTGCAGTCCAGGGCACTGGCTACTCTCACCTCATTCCTATAGCTCTGCTACAAAAAAATCTTGCTGTCTTTGGATACTCTTGCTGGTTGAAAATGCTTGTTCTTTTTGGAAAATCCTTCCTTCCTCTCCAGCTCCTCACCTCTGATCCTCTTGTTGTGTGTTCCCCCCACAGCATGTGATTGCCATCCCGTGGGTGCAGCTGGAAAAACCTGTAATCAAACCACAGGGCAATGTCCCTGCAAAGATGGCGTGACAGGCATCACTTGCAACCGATGTGCCAAAGGTTACCAGCAAAGCAGATCTCCCATTGCCCCCTGCATAAGTAGGTGGATGCGCTTTCCGACATTGGTACCATAACGTAATGGATCCTAAATCTGGTCTGCTTACTAACACCTGATTGGATAGACTTAATTAATTTAGCTAGAGATATTGTTGGCCACTTTTCACATTGCAGTTTTCATGGGTAGTTGTTACAAGTCCACATTGTGAACCTAAAACTTCAGGTTTTAAGGCACATTCACTTCCACCACTATTTCAATTCGCTTATGCAGTGAAAATGCACAGTGAAGAGCTGGGGCTAATAGCAAGGAAAGACATATATGAACCTGGAAACTGGGATAGGTTTAGTGAGTACACAGTGAAACTGTGTGATGTATACCCATTAAAGCTGTAATTTGTGCAGTGGCCCTGTGTGTTGTATGTCCAGGTTGCATTTTGCATGTCTCTATGTATATAAATATATGGATGAATTATACAGATATCTTATTGATCACACTAGTAAGGTGATGCAAGTACAAGTTCCCACTTAAACAAAAGGTTTCAAAGTTGAAAACATGATTTTCTGTGTTGCAGAACCGTTTTTTCTAGCAATGCCAGCAATAAATTACTATTGTTTTTTAATTATGTTTGGTTAAAATCATGTTTGGGTGTAGTCAATGTTTTCCTCCTAAAAGCATTAGACAGCCTGGGTTCCATCATTGTCCAGAGCAACTTTCATACCAAAGCAGTTGGTTCTGTCTCTGTCATACAGAGAAAAGGGAATCAAAGACCAAAGCAACTTTGAAAAGCCAAAAAGAAACACAGAACAGCCATATAATGGCCATTACCCTGTTTCCTTAATACTAATGCAAAAATAAATAAGGTCATGGTTGAAAGAATCAAGTCTTTGAATAACTTCTCAGGATGCATTTCTGATAATCTGGAATAGTCACAAAAATTTCATACTCTTACACTGTTACGGATTATTTATGGTCTGAAGGCATATGATGCAGCAACCTCGCTGCAGCTGCCCTCTCCCTACAGCTTCTTTAAAATAAAAGATGTGAGAAACATCAGATCATGGATCCTCTTCATCACATACAGTATGAGACTCTAGAACTCTCTACAAGGAACTGAAATGAGATTATTCCTAGAACCAAATATGGCTCCAGGAAATATATGCCTTTCTCTTCTCTGATGGAGTCCTGATTACATCAAAATCATTGGAGACATTGTTCTTGTTTGCTATGATATTTAGATGGACACAACTAGATGTGCTTGGTGAAGGCAAACTCTAGGTTAGCACTGCACTAAAATGTACATGCACACACTTGCTGAACACCCTCTCTGGTCCCTGAAAGTTCATTTGCACAATCACATTTTTTTCTGACCACTTTTGAACTTGTGAAAACGTTCATTCCTGGAGAGAGTAACAACTTTTACCTTTTCTTGTTTATCCTTCCCTTGTTTGCCTTTTCTTCTTTACCACAGAGATACCTGTTGTTCCTCCCACCACGGTGGCCAGTAGCACAGAAGAACCTGCAGGTATGTTATACTTTTGTTTTTATCCTGTTCAAATTGGGGGGGGGGGGAGAATATCCTGTTCCAAAGACAAGATAGATCTGCTGACCAAGTTATAGCAACAACAAAGTAAGCAGAACTGAAACTTATTCAAGGCTTTTTTTTACTGCAGGTGAGGAGGAGGTCATAAGCGTAATATTTTGGTTTTTTCATTTAACAATAAAATAATTAACATTAAATGTCAAGAACGGGTTGTTACATAGCAAAAGAAATAGTGTTTGTGTAGTATTGTATGAAAAAACAGGCTCTGGGAAATAACTAAGTACATAGATTTAAACTGCAAAAAGACATGAAAAAGGCAAAAAAATATATGTGTGAAATGAATGGCTAGCAATCCCAGAAGTCTTTGCACCAACCTTTGAGGCTTGTGGAGAGTTTGAGAGAAAGCTTTGGAGGGAGTGATTGTGGTGGAGTTTGGCAGATTTTGTGGAGTTTGGTACTTCAGGAGACCAGTCTGCCCCCCTTGTCATTTTTTCAACATCATCCTCTAGCGATGAGGAAAACTGAGAGCCCCCATTGCCACCATTCATGCCAGTTTGGTAAGTGCTGCTGGCTTTTCAAGAGTTTCCAGAGGTTTAGAGGGTGTTTACAGGCATTTTAGATGGTGTCCCCCACTATATGTGATTTCATGTATATGTGGAGTACCTGGGAATGTAAACTCTGTGTAAGTGAGTAAGTGAGGAGACGCCTGTAATGTATTACCTTTGGTTGGGTATTTTACAGTCTTGTGGGTAGCCTGACCTGGAGCAGAACAAATTTGACAGACAGATGGAAGTAAAGAACCAGCTGTTTAAATATGTTATTATTGTATCTTTTAAGGAACATTAGCAACATCACTGTTGTGGTACTCATTTATTCTTGTCGTCATCTGCTACTTTCAGTTTAGGCTAAAAGCTATAGAAGTGCAAGCTTTTATTCTCTTTTCACAGAAAATTATTTACAGGGTGGAGAGGGAGTAGTAAACACTCAAACTTGCAACAGTATCTCCTGGATTCCTAAATTTTAAAAAATTATTATTTATTCATTCCCCTGCGTATATCATTTTCAATGGAACAATCCATCTTTTCAGAAGCAGATTGCAGCACAAGGCGCCTTCTCTTTAAAAGCACAAGGAAAGTTCAGCCAAACTGAACAATCTGATTGGCGGTGGGTCCCTAAGTGCATGATATCCCTTCAGTAGCAATTTTATTGACGTTTTAAAGCACCACTTTAGTCAGAGAGGATGAGCTCCCGTATTTTATCATTTTTATTTGACTGCCTAGCCCACTTGGGAGTGTGGCACCTTTCAGATTCCATCATTGCACACTTCCCCAGAAGTCCACAACACTGTCTTGGCTACATGTCACTTGGCATAAGCGCAGGTGATAGCACAGCCACCCCTAAATGCAATCTGAGGGCTGTCTGAACATTGCAATCCAAAAGAAGAAATCTGGATGGAAGTTATATGTAGCAGCCCATTGGACAGAATCACTTTGCCGCACTTCTTCAAGAGTGTGTGTTGTTGTGGATAGAGTGCTCTGGTCAGACTGCAACATTCAGTTTCAAATCCTCAGTCATGAAACTCGCTGGGTGACCTTGGGCCTGTCACTTATCTCGAGGTTTAATCTGCCAAACAGGGTCGTTGGAATAATAAAATGTGGGAATGAATGCCAATGTGGGGAATCAAACTCCTTGGAGGAACGGCAGGATATAAATAAATGCTCAAGTTGAAAGTGGCTCCAAATCTGAAAGAAAAGGGAATGTATATTTTGTAGAGAAATCTCAAATGGATCACGAGCCAAAACCAGCTTTAGTGTGAAAGAGAGAAAACATTGCCATTGCTGGTTCTGCACCAGGGTTTGCTTTAGTTATATAACATCTGCATTTGACTGGAAAAGCAATTAAAATTCATTTGCTTTTATAAAATTGCTCTTTGCCAACGTTTTGAGCCAGCAGCCTTGCTGAACATTTTAAGCTGAGCAACCTGGACATTTTCTACTTCTCTCTCATTTTATAATTCTACTCCTAGACCTTGTCTTGCTGCTGGAGGGTAGCAATGGGCAGGTGGGCAATTCATGGGATAGCCGTGTGGCTGCTTAGACAAGGATTTAGTCTCTCACGTTGGTTATTGCAGTGCACCTTCAAAAACACTTTGGAAGTTTGGGGGAGTATGATATGCTGCAGTTCATCTTTGACAGGTTACTCATGACAGGTCTTGGTAAAATTGCTTCTAGCTTTGCTGGCTTCCTGTTAGCTTCTGGGCCCAGTTAGCAGTATGAGTGATGAACTTTAAACCAGGGTACAGGCTAGGTCAACTACCCCCAGCATTTTGGAAATTAACATTTTGGATGGGTGTTGTAGTCCATCTGAAATTCTTGGAGGAGGAGGCTGGGAAGAACTTTGTCTTAGGGCCAGTATATCCTACTGATGGAGCCCATCCTGTGGAATGCTCTGCCAGCAGTTGGCTCCTTTGCTGCCGTTTTTCTGGCAGTTTTTAATACGTTGCTTCTCTTTCTTTCTTTCTTTCTTTCTCTTTTGCTTTTGGCAGTATAGTGAGTAACCAAGGAGTTGGCTTCTGCTGTTTCTTTCTACAATTATGTTCTCAGTGTAGCTGCACTGTGGGGGTGTGCCTGTTGTCCTAGTATTGTGCCTTTGTTAGTGGCAGTACTGCAGGTTTTATCATGATTGTGCACTGCTATACTTGTCACTTTTGTGGTAGAGAATCAATCTATAAATTGAGAGATGTTGCCCCAAAGATGTAATGATTCCAGGGTGCGTTTTTGCTTTTGCTTGTATGTCTGCGTATGTTATGGCTGTTGTTTGTTTGAGTCATCTCAATCTGTTTGCTATGTAAGCACTTTTCTGTGGTCTGTTTGCTCTGTTCCTGGCACATTGGCCTCTGGCTTGTGCAGCAGGTATATCTGTGGAGGGCTACTGAATGGGAATATAGCTCTGGCTTCAAGCAGAGGATTGTATTGTTGGACGAGATGACTAGAAGATGCTCTGACATTCACTCTGAAGGGGCTGACCAGGCAGGAATTTGGCTGAGAAACAGGCACACCATCCATGTCTGTGTGAGGGATGTGTGTGTCTCTCTCTCTCTCTGTGTGTGTGTGTGTGTGTGTGTGTGTGTACGTGTGTGCATGTCAGAGAGAGAAGAGGGGGATGGATTGATGAAGAGAAGAGAAGGAGAGAGAAAGAGAGAGAGAAAAAACGGGAAGTGGGAGTGGCCATGCCTACTTTTTGGCCTTGGCCCTGACCACAAGTGGTATGCAGCCCCCAACCAATATGGCCCCCAGCCCTGAAGTTTGCCTAGCCCTGATTTAGTGCATTCCAACTGTGATTGTAGACATGGATTGTTTCAGCTAAACAAACCTTCATTGACTTAAATGAATTATTCCATATGGCAAACTTGGCCTGTGAGCCACATTACGAAGTTCAGCACGACTTACCTCTCTTCTGGTGCACCAGCATCCTGCCTTGCCAGTTTTCCCTACCAGTTGCTGTTAGCGTCATTCATTTCTGGCTGCAAATTCTTTCCTGGATTATAGAATTGCTGCTGCTCGAAAGGCTAATCTGTATACCCTGGGCAGCTACTGGAAATAATAACTGGAAAAAATTCTTTGCTCTGTTGTAGGGCTAGGGTTTCCTGTAGGTCTTATCATGTTCCTAGGATTTCCCACAAAGTATAGGAGCAGAATAGTGTAAGATATGACCTGCTCTATCTTGGCTATCTGTGTGCTTCATTTGCAGCAGCTGTGATATAATGCAGTTACGCAAATGCTTGAACTGACCTAAGCTGGGCAGGACAACAGCCCAGAGGCCATACTGTAGGGAACATTCTTTCTCTGCCCCTGGAGATGGGCTGCATTTGGCCTTTCGATTTCCTCATTTTGCAGTTCCATAAACACTTTAGCTGAGAGAAATGGGGGTAGGAGAGAGAAGGTGGGGAGAAAACTCTGGTAATTTTCCTGATAATCAGGAAGGCGAACCACTGTGACTCTGGAATGGCTATGTTGACTGACCTTGCCGCTAGCATTGCTATACTTTGTAAAATACAAATTCATCTTCTAAATTAAACACATGACAATTCAGATTAGAATGATACTGTAGGTTGGTGGTTTAGAGTTATTTCATCTGACATGCAACCAGCACAATTTCCACACACACCCCAACAAATATTTTTATTAAACTTTTAACATGAAAAGACATTTAATTAACATTTGCATGGGGATTGTCATTTTACACAGGATCAGCTACATGAAGGATTAGACCTCTCCAGAAAGTTGTATGGGCTGTTGGGAGTAGGCATAAATCCCACTGTTTGTTGATAAAGTCCATGAATGGGTGTCATATAGCACAGAATGAGTCTTTTTTGTGGTTCCCCCTGCAAGCTGGGCATGGCAAGTTAGTTTTTCTGACAGGGCTACCTGCCAGACTCTTATCTAGCCACTTGCAGGGAAGAAACTAGGCTTTATTTCACCCGGGTCAAAGACTCACTTTGGTACCCCCTCCCATGCGCATTTGTGTACACACAAAGAGAGAGAGAGGCAGGGAACCTCAATGGCACCCCTCTGGAGGCTTCACCCAGGGCAAAAAAACTTGGCTACCCCCATAGCTATGGCTCTGCCACTTGTCATGTGAAAGGTGTGCAACTAGTACAAATATGCATTAGGACGCTCAATCCTATGCTTGTTTCTTGGTACTAAGTCCCATGTGGGAGGAAGTCCAGTCACAAGGAGCAGCAAGGGGAAATGTTACTTCAGGTAGCAAGGATACCTTTGAATGGCTGAGGATGGTAGAGCTAGACAAAATGATCTCTTGCAAAATATGTGCAGAAACAAGGACAGATGAGGCTATGGAAGGTTTTGAATGCTGAAGACAAGAAGAGACTTAAAGATGAGGGCCAAAAAGTCAAAGTTTTGAGAGAGCTGAATAATTTTGGGAGGCAAAGGGAAGGGAAGTATATCAAGTAGAACACCAAG